ATTTGTGAACAGGTGATGAGGCCGTGTGACGAAGTGTTTCCCAACAATGGCTGCTGGTGGAACTTCAAACAGGTAAACTGTTGTGACCTATTCGAGTTGCAGCGAACCGAATTCGGTTTATGTCATTCGTTCAATTCCGATTTTTCCGAGTACAGTAGAGCGTGAGTATTGGTCATTAACGCGATATGGTGTCATATATATACATTATTATAATGTACTAGCTGATACCGTGTACTTTGTTGCCCGTAAAAAATGGCAACTCTTAAAAAAAATTATTATTGTTCAACTCCTTTTAGGTGTAACTGGAAGCAGTAAGTGCAACTCAGCCACCCTCAAAAATTCGATTTGATGCATGTTTGTACCCTATCCGCCCAAATAACAAATGGCAACCAATAATAAATAAATATGTACTTATTTCTACTAATTATTTCTCCTATAACCAATAACAACCATTTATAAACAAAAATGTCCACCGTAAATCTCAAAGTCCCCGTTTGAGCACCTTCCCGGGTAGGACCTTGGAGGGTGAAAAATACTTTACAACCTATTCTCATACCTACCAAATAAACAAAAAAAAATGTCTTTAAAATCGGTGGAGATGTTTCGGAGGAGTTCGAACACTAATATAGTGACACGAGATTTTTATATATTAGATTAATATAATACAAATAATTATTATTTGTATGTGTCATTGTAATATCCGATGTCAAAATGTTTCACAGGCGCCTCGGCGCGGACTCTGGTCTTATTGGTTCGTTTTGGAGAACAGAGTCCGGAGATCTCAGACCAAGGAGGACGGGTGACAATGGTCAGTGGTCAGGAATCAGGTATAAAATATAGTAAAAATAAGAATAATGGTCTTAATTTTACCAAGTTATAGCTTCAAAAACATGTTTAATTTTTGCATTGAACATGTATTCTACTTGATAATTATTTTCAGTCGCACACCCCCCCCCCCCCACCTCCACCGTTGCCTGTATTATATTTATATAATAAATTATTAACAACTATTTTTCCTGTATTAGGTATTGGCCTTAAGTTTTATTTTCGAAAAATAAAATATTATCAGTATTTTGTGTTATCAACAACAATTTTGATAAGCACCTTATTAGTGCATAGTAGCTGGCACGTGGTTGAAAAGGAGAATATAGTCTTTGATCATACAGCTATTTAAAGGAACTAAGACTGAAGAATTATTGAACGGATTTACCCTAGCTAGAATGAACAAAGTTTGATTAGACTATGAAGTCATTGAAATATTTGTTTTAATTTTATAAAACAATCTCCGCCTAAGAACTAAGAAGAATGCAAATAATGTCCAAAAGATTAAAGAACTGGAAAAAATAAAAAAGATTTTTCTGATATATATAATAATATTATGTGCTTACAATTTATATACCTACTTGTAAAATTTAAAAAAGTGTTGGTTATTTAATATATTTATGTTCAACGGTTAGAAGAGGATAAAAGATAAGAAGATAAGAAAATTATGCGACGTTGTTTTATTTTTTTTAAGTGTTATATTTAAATGTACTTTTTAAATGTATTTTTATCACTGATTGTTGTGTCTTGTGTGCTTCAACTTATTTAAGCCACTGTTACAGGATGTACGTAACTACGATGGACCCGGAACAAGTCGCTCCTGGAATAGCTGCCAAACAATCGACAAGGGTAGGTACAAAACTTTAAAAATATTGTTTTCGCCTATATAGTCATATCATATATTATCATTTATAACCGATAAGCCACCCATAGTTAAAATGAAAAAAAATATGTTATTCAAATAGATAGTTATGAAACAAATATTTTTGACTTTTGTCGATTATCTTGACGATTTGAGAAGTAAATATACCTTCTGCGAGTAATTCCCATAAACTTCAATTATTTTAAGCGTAACCGGTGTCGTTATGACATTATGGGGCCAACAGGGCTATATTATAATAATGTAATAATATTGTGTCGAATGGCTGCAACAGCTAATATAATATATTATATTCAATTATATATGCACGTTATTTGGAGTATCGCTTGGGGAATACATTGGCTGCATTATTATGCTCGGACCATTATATCTATTGGTCTGATTTAATTTTATGCTAGCGCCAGAACAGACAAAATTAAAGTAACTCATATGATAAAATAAATAATTTACAGCAGAAATGGGGGGCTTAAAAAAGGATGTTTGTATGATGGGCTCATTATATTATTATTTTTAGATAATGATCGGTGAACCCAGAGGCGCTCCGCTCGGATCGGATATGGTAGTGACGGGGGGCAGCATTGGCATTATTCACGTGTGGGGAGATAGGATATACAACACAAACAGGACCAGGAGACTGAATCCGAAACAGCGAAGGTGTCTTTTCGCCGACGAGAGTACCACCGGAATGGGTACCAAATACTACCTGCGGAGGAATTGCAAGACGGCATGTTACATGAATCACATGGTCCATCACTGCGGCTGTTATTTGGAGTTCATGTTCGGCCTCATGCATCGTAAGTGCCGTCGTTAAAATATA